TTCAGGTGTCGTACCACAAAGGACTTCATAGGCGACCATCAGCACCTTGAATCACACCTGGAAGCTTACTGGTAACCAGTGCAGCCTACATGGTAGTAGTGGTGTTACGTGAGCGTACTAAGATGCGCCTAGAACTATTTACACTGCCAAATTCTGGACCAGCCATAGCTTCCAAGTGGACTTCAAGGAAAGCCTCACGTAGCATGTATCGCGGTAGTCCAGATGAGAAGTAACTAAGGCATCAGTGACTGTGAGTAAGGCCCCCCAAATCCAGCGTTGGCCACAAGCAAGATGGGTCCAAAGACCTCCCCCCCAAGCCATGGCTGCCCCCTGCTCTTCCAGTTCTAAGCAACCCCTACCCCGGTGCCACCAGGCTGCTGGTTTCCACTAACCACAGAAACCGAGGGGTGCAACACCAAGGCTGCAGAGAAACAGCTGCCGCCATCGCTAAGAGTGGCTTTAAGATGCTCCAGGCGGTTGTGTCACGGACAGCACAGCCCTAAGACGCTCCCCGAGTCTAGTAACTCCTACTTCACATCAGTCTCTTGGAAGCATTCTATAGGAATGTTGTTGCTGCACTGTATTTTAATCAGTATTTATTCTATTTTAATTAATATTTATTCTTTTTAGTAAGCCGCCCAGAGTTGCTCTGCCGTGAGATGGGCAGTGCCAAGTTTGAAATATAAATATAAAATATATTGTACTCAGAAGCCTTGAAGGTTCACTAAGAGTGCTGTGGGTGATGATTGCCAGGGCCCAATGCTCTTCCTACATTGGACCGTTCTGTAACATTTTACTGATGATTTTTTTTTTCTTTTTTTGGACAATGAAGCCTGGTTACTCCAGGCTCCTGACTTCCTCTGAAGGCAAGTCTCTTTCAAGCAGAGAAAAAGGAAGTTCCTCATAAAATAAATCATTTATGTCCAGCAGTTCTAAGAGCAAGTAGCTCAGATAAGCTTTCAAAGGAAATTCTAGACATTAATGGAGGGAGGGAGGCTGAAGCAGGCATTAGTCAGAGAAGCTTCAATTTCTCGAGCAGTTTATTTATTTATATTTGCTGCGGGCAGCAAAAAGTATCCACATAATTTAGAGTATGCAGCAGAATTTGTGTAACACTTGGGGAACCTGGGCAATGAATCTCCTGTAAAATAAGGCCCTGATTATTAAGAATTACTGAGAAAAGGGTAACTGAAAAAAAATTATCCCCATTGTTATGTCTCTGTAAAAAAAAAAAAAAATTGAGTAGAGATGCATAAAATATTACCCTTGAGTTTCACAGATATACTTCCAAAATATTCACCATGTATAAAATTTGTATCTTACTTACATATGTATAAATAGTATACATATATAGATTTATATATTCACAGTATAAATATGCACATGAATATAAAGAGAGCCAGCTTGGTGTAGTGGGAAAGATGCTGAGCTAAAAACCAGGAGGCCATGAGTTCTAGTCCTCCCTTAGGCAGGAAAGCCGGCTGGGTGACTTTGGGCCAGTCCCTCTCTCAGCCCAACTCACCTCACAGGGTTGTCGTTATGCGGAAAAGAGGAGGCATGTACGTCACACTGAGT